GGAGCCACGGGGAATAGGGAGATCAAAAAGTCTCCATCCAGCCCCCCTCGGGTGCCAAGAAGGAAGGGGAATGGGGGACAGAGCCAGAGGTCAATCAGATCCCCAGGTTCTACCGATGTCAACAGTAAGGGGAGGTGACCTCAACAGAAAAAAAGCAGAGCCTTCGCATCCGCAACGTGTGGATACTAACGGGATATGGGACATGTTGCCCTGCAGTCATAGGGAGGATCCAACGAAATTAGGAGTTTGTGGAGCTCTGATATGCACGGTCCCTGCAGGGACATCTGCTCTGCAGAGCCAAGAAACCCTCACCATTCCAGGGTGTGAGCTGGTGGGTAGGAGGAAGGTCAGTGTGTTTGGAAACCTCCAGCAGCCCATTCCTGTACCTGATTTTAAACAAGAAGAAAACCCAGGGATCTTCTTTCTGATTCCCCTACCCTGGCTACTGCTGCTGATCCTAACCAAATTCGCAGGAATGTGCCTCCCACTCAGGACGGACTTTGAGCAAAATGACAGAGACAGAAAACACCCGTGCGCTGAGCCTGTGAACAGCTGGGGGCCTGGGATCAAGAGTCCCAGGCCTCGGATCAGATCCACTCCCACTAGCCACCCTCCGCGAGGGGGCACCCAACTGTGCAAAGCAGGGGAAATATTCTTTACAATGAACCTGTAAGCAGCCACAGGGCTTACAGCCTTCAAACTGTCAGTTTCAATGGGCTAAAGAAAGAAGGAGTAAAAGCTACATCAATAACAGGTAGCTCTTAAGCAGGGTTTGCTTCCTGTGTCGGGTAATTAATGTCCCTTCAGCGACATCGATTATCTCATTTAATCCCTCCTCTTGATGGAGAAAGTGAGGTTGGAGGGCTTTGAGTAATCAGTGTAGTTATGAGACTACTAAGCTGAAACGGGCAGCCTCATTCTAGAGGTTTCCTTCTAGTTCTCGCCTCCTATTCGGTCGCCCGGCTCCTCTTCCTCCTCCCAGCGTCCAGCCGAACTTGGTGGGCCTGCAGGAAGCTAGGGAGCCCCGCGGCGGCCAGCCTCCCCGCAGAGCAAAGGCCCCGCACCCAAAGCCGGGCGCGCGCAGCATCGTAGAACTACAGGACTTGTAGCCCTGCGTGAAGCACCCTCGCCCGGGGTGCACAGGTCCACTCGGGCCCCTCCAGGCTGCCCCCCGCGGCTGCACCGGGAGCCCCGGGCCCCGATC